TCAGGCTGCTGTTAATGCGATTGTGTATATTAGTCTCTCCCATGGGTGCTCCTGTTCGTGTCCCCATGTGCTTTTCATCATTAACCTCGTCCTCTCGTCCCGCCCTCACCTCTTGGCAAAACAGTGCAAATGAGACAGAGATGAATCTGGCCGCTCCTTCGCATTCATCAGCAGGAGGTGATGAGGTTAGTTTTCCCTGAATTACTGGAACATTTTAATTGTTGTCATTGACATTGATGCAAAAACTGCACTTTTTCCCTGCTGCGGGATATTTTAAATCCTAACTAGGTCCTTACATTGGATACATGCAATTTGTGGTACTGCTTACCTTGTTATCTATAAGGTGAAAAGTCTACAATTTTAACGATTCAGATTCTACCCTCTTCTGCTGGTTTGAGCAATAATCTGCTGCTGTCTGCTGCTCGGCAACAGACTTGTCTAGGTGTCACACCATTCACCATCCCCTCCTGCTCCTTAGCTCTTGTACACATAATCTGAACTTGTTGGTGAAGATTCTCTGTCATCCCGGTCATGGTAATCATAAGTGCTGTATCGTAGGCAACTGGACTTGCTTGCGTTTCTTGAAGATGTTCAAGAAGACGGTGAGCCCAGAGCACAGCCGTGCCGACAAAGGCACGGCTGTGCTATGGGCTCACCATTGTCCCCTATAGTGGCCAATCTTTATACGGAAGATGTGGAGAAGAGAGCTTTGACCACCTTTACAGGAACTGCTCCTAACCACTGGTTCAGGTATATGGATGACACCTGGGTCAAAATCAAAACCAAGGAAGTGGAAACCTTCACGGAACACATAATGCAGTGAACCCCAACATCAAATTCACACGGGAGGAACCAGTCAACCTTTCTTAGACTGTCTACTAGACACTAGACTAGACAGTACACATTGAAGAGCCCAGAACCTTAACAAACCTACACACACCGACCAATACCTGCTGTTCGACTCTCACCACCCACTGGGACACAAGTTGGGAGTCATCAGGACACTCAATCATCGGGCTGAAAACGTGCCCACCAGGACAAAGGTGAAGGAACTGAAACACATCAAGGAAGAACTTCAAACCTGTGGCTACCCCAACCTCTAAAAGACCCAGAGCAGACGGAGAGGAAGAGACACAAAAACATAACAACATTGTCATTCCTTATATCGCAGGAGTGTCTGAGAAACTCAGGAGGATTTTCAACAAACACCAAATCTCTGTGCACTTTAAACCCAGTAACACACTGAGACAGAAACTTGTCCACCCCAAGGACAAAACACCCAGACATGAGCAGAGTAATGTAGTGTATGCAGTTCAGTACAGATTTATACATTGGGGAGACAAAACAACCACTCCATAAGTGCATGGCACAGCACAGGAGAGCCAGCTCCTTGGGTCAAGACTCAGCTGTCCATTTGCATCTAAAGGAGAAGGACAGCAGTGTGCACATCTTGGCCAGAGAAGAGGCATGGTTTGAAAGAGGCATGAAAGAAGCCATCTACATCAAACTGAAACGACCATCGTTAAACAGAGGAGGTGGTCTATATGACACCACTTATCCCCCACCTACAATGCAGTCTTGGGATCCCTCCCCAGATGGCTGAACACCCATCCACACTTGATCTTATCTAACCCTAACGACTCACATGATAGCCAGGGGGGTCAACGACTCACTGCAGACAAACTCTGGAAGGGTTCACACCCACACACAGTTTAAAGTCTGCAACTCTGTACCAATCACTTAGAACTGAAGAAGCCTCTTGGATGGGAGGTAAAACATCTTCAGGAAACTCAAGCAAGTCCAGTTGCCTACGATATAGCACTTATGATCACGTAATCTGAACTACATTACATCATATGTATGAAATGTTTAACTGTTAACACATCTGTGATGTGCAGAAAAGTACAATACCAACATTTTATTCTGGCAGTTGGGCTGCCATACAACATAGGCTGGGAGCCAGGTCCAGCCCTCATGATGTTCTCTGCTATGTCTTTTTCATTATCATTTCCTGTTGGCCTGTACCATGGGCCATCACAAGTTGATAATGAGCACCAACTCTGGATCGTTTGGTCTCTGGGGACCCAAACCCATTTTTAAAGGGATAGTGCACCCAAAAATGAAAATTCAGCCATTATCTACTCACCCATATGCCGAGGAAGGCTCAGGTGAAGTTTTAGAGTCCTCACATCACTTGCGAAAATCCAAGAGAATCCAGTTAGAGCTGCAGGCTGAGCTGACGTTTTTCCAAACAACTTTTTATGTCGGGGCTTCAGGACACTTGGATCACTACGGACGAGCAGTATGGAGATATTTTGTTGTTTCAATTATGTGTTTTTGTGCGTTTGAATCTGGGTCGCCATCAGCCTGCATTAGGTGGAGTTGTGTTGCTACCCCCTCTCCCCTTGGATCTCCGCAAGTGTTGTGAGGACTCTAAAACTTCACCCGAGCCTCCATCGGCATATGGGTGAGTAGATAATGGCTGAATTTTCATTTTTGGGTGCACTATCCCTTTAAGACATGCTTCTGGTGAAATTATGTTAATAAATATATTAGGGCACTACGCTGGCACAAATAGGTATGAAATTTGGCAAGGAATATCCTGACACAAAGGGGAAAGTAGCAAAATAAAATTCTGGGGTTTGCTGCAATTTTATTTCAAAATATCTCACACAACATCCCAAAAAAAACTAAAATATTTTTCATCACTTTTTGTTTAATATCGCTGCTTCACTTGTACATAGAAAACTTCCCAAATTGATAAGCGTCAATTTGAGCCCAAGTTGACGTTTCTAGCTTGAATATTACACTTGCTTTGGCCTAAATTTGACACTATACCTCAAATTGGAGAAAACAGAATTTTCAATCACTAGTCTTTCGGAGAGTCGACTTGCCAGCAGTGAACCTGGAAGTGTTGAGTTCCCCAAAGTTTAATATACTGCATCCTTTTTACTAAACAAATTTAACACTAAAATGAATATTTTTTGTCTTGATGTATAAGTACAATTTATTCACACTTCAAATTAAACTGTCTTCTATACGGCTGCTGCACTTGTAGACAATATATCTTAAGTCAACCTCACTGTCTTCTGTTGGAATGGGTTTCCCTGTTCACTATACGGTATATTTTCCCAGATTTCTTCCTCTCCTCATGCTGCTCTGAAGGCTTTACTGCTTCACTGGTGACGTACAATAAGTTTACAGTCAGCTCTTTCTACCCACTCTGTATTAGACTCAGAATGAATCACTCGTCCAGAAGCTGTGACCTGCTTCTCCTTTATGTTCGATTTATACAAACAGTACTTAGACGGTACTTGAGAGCTTTCTGGTCTTGCGTAATTTGGGGAAATACGCACAGAGGCATAGAGTAAAACCTAATAAGCCTTGTTGACATATAATACATAATGTATGTAGTTTTCCAACAAAAGCATGGTGCAAGAAAAAGTTCTTCAGTTTAAGTAATATTCAAATAAGTGTTTTTTTCTTATCCCCGAAAAAACAACTAAACTCATTAGCCACTTTCCTCCCATGTGACATCACATAAATAATGTGCCCAATTCCTGCTGTGGCTCCATGATTCTCTCTAATGAAGGAACATTATCTTCCCATTATTCAGCTCCACGTTGTATTTTCATCAAATTAATCAGGATCGGCGGCTGGCCTCATTAGGATGCTCTCAGAGAACACATCGCAACTGAGCCTCCGATGCATTAGTATGCAAAGGTGCTTACTCATTCGCAGCAGCACTGATGAGGGAACACACACACACACACACACCCACACACACACACATAAACAATGTACGTAAACAGACAGGCAGCACTAATAGGCCCCCTGGCAGCGCTAAAGACTTTAAGAAACAGGTCTTGCGTCAACAGAGTAGCCCTATTGTGTCAGCCCTGACTAAACTGGCACCACACACACACACACACACACAGTTTTCGGGGCTCACACAGACTCTCTGCTGTCTGGAACTCGATGTCAGGTCAGTAGACAAATACTAATAGAAGTGGATTAGTGGGATGATGCCAAAAACCTTGTTTATGTACGTGCAAGTGCAGTGTGTTTACTTGCGAGTGTGTAAGTGTGATGCATTTCATTGTACGCTGCCGAATAAAAACATATAAGAAGAAATGCAAGAAACTGTCACTAAACTTGTATCAGCTGTTTTTCTAAAGATTCTAGTCCACTTTCAGTTTGTGTAAACAACCTTTAACCTGTAAACAACTCTTATAAACTGCATTTTTAGCAAAGTATGTGACATTTCCGGAGCGTGAGAGCAAAGATTCTTCTTTGTCTTCTTTTTTTCTAATTAAAAGCTTGACCTCTTTCGGGTGAATCGATTAAGCAACCTTGTTTACTACTATCTCTTTAAAGACTGAATTAATGGTGTTGTGCACCTGCCTAATTTTAGCCAACAGGGCTCCCTGGAGGGAATGAGCTTTAAAAGGGCTCCTGCTACAGCAAGACTTTAAAAAGAAGAGTCAGTTTGTGCACAACAGACTTTAAGGGAAACACAGAACAGATTGTAAGACCAACATAAGTCTCACAACTTCAAAAATATACCTTGAACTCTTGAGATCTCATTTTATTTGTGACATGTTATCATATAAGGTACAATGAAATTAGCCTAGCGGTGTTTGGGATCCTTAGTGATTCCCTTAGCCTTATTCTTGTAGCGCCTTGTGTAGGCATCCCTTAGGCAGGGTAGAGTTTCTATATGTACTTTCATCCCCACGACACTCTTTGCAATGCTGTTTTGTAATATATGTCATAGGTTTTCAGGCATTCAATTAAGTATTCTCTGCTATACAGTCTTAGCACACAGTCACAAAAGGGTAGACTACATTTCTTTAGTGTTTATATAGCGCACAAAACCTGAGCTGAATCCTAACCCATCAATTTTTTCAAATAGAAGAAGATTGTAAGAAAGGCTTTAAGTAAAATCACACAGCAGACAAAGTGCACTTGACACACACTCTCTCTCACACACACTGTACCTGTTTCGGGGTGTCACTTTCTCTCAGTTAAAATCTCCTGTAATGGCTCCTTGCAGAGTTTTTATTCAGCCGTCTTTATCCAGAATCTGTTCAGACACTTTAATGCATCTCTGAGCACTGAGCTGAAGGAGAGGACCAGCAGCTCTGAGTTAAAGTAGCAAGAGAGTGAGTGAGTTAGAGACAGAGGGAGGGAGGGAATGGGGGAAGGAGGGAGGGAGGGCTGAGAAGTGAGTTACAATAAGAGAGAAGGAGGTGGAGCGCCACATACTGACTTTCAGGAGCTGAGAACATCAACACAACAGAGAGGGGAGGAGAGAGTGAACGGGGGGGAAGGTGGGAGGGGGAGTGGGATAGGAGGAAACTGGGAAAAGATGGGAGGAAGAGTGAAGGAAGAGGAAGACAGAGCAAGAGGAGGAAGAGAATAAAGGCGATAAAGAGGAAGAAGGGAGAGAGTGGCTGAGAAAAGGAGGCAAGAAGGTATAAAAAAAGAAAGACAGAAGGCCAAGAAAGGAAACAAGGAGGCAAGAAAGAAGAAAAATAGGAGGGTTAAAAGAGGAAGGAAGGTGGTGGAGAAAAGAGAAAGTAAGTAAGGAAAGTAAGAGAGGAGGGAGTGAAAGGGGCATGAAAAAGAGAAAAGGTAGGTAGGGAGCAAGAAAAGGGTCTAACTCAAGACAATCAATGGTGTCGCACAGGAACATAAGAGGAAGTGAAGGTAGGGAAGCAAAGATGGAAGATGTAAGGAGAGAAGACAAGGGAAATGAGGAGCTAGGGAAGAAAAAGGAGATAGGGAGCAAGGCAAGGAGTTAATAAAGGATAAAAGGGGGTAGAAGGGAGGATAAAAGTATGGAAGAAAGAAAGAAGCAAGCAAAGGAAGCACAAAGAAGAATTAAGATAAGAAAAGTAAAGCTGTCTAGTACAAGTAAAGGAACTAATACAGGAGATAGGAAGGTAGGAAGGAGATATAGAGGAACTGGAAGTAAAAAGCAAGGAAGTAGGGAAGAAAAGAATGATAAAAGAGGGGAGAGAATGAATTAGAAGGAAGAGGTAGGAGAAGGTGGAGAGAAAGAAAAGGGGTTAAAATGAAAGAAAGGGAGGGAAGAAGTTAGACAGTTAGGTAGGGAAGCAGAAATTGAGTAGAGGATACAAAATGTTAGGAGGTAGGGAGCAAGAAAAGGAAATCTGGAAGAAGAGAGGGAAGGGTGAGGAGATAGAGGGACATAAGAGGAAAGGAATGGGGCAAGGAAGGACAGAAGGAACCAGAAAAGGAGTAAATGCAGGGGAGAATGATAAGTGATGGAAAGGAGGTAGGAAGTGAGAAAATGAGGAAGGAAAGTAGTGAAGGAGACAAGGCGGTAAGAGGGTGGTATATGGATTAAAAGCCGGGAGGGTGAGAGAAAGGGGGCAAGGAAGGGAGGGTGCACGGCAATAGGGATAGTGTGGCAGGTGGAGAGTGGAATGAGGAGGGAGGGAAGGGAGCAAGAATGAAGTTGAGGAGAAAGAAGGCAAGGAAGTAGGGAAAAAGAAATGTGAGAGAAAGGTATAGAGGGAGGTAGGAAAAAAGACAGAGAAAGGGAGGTTGACAGGAAGGTAGGGAAGGAAGAGAAAGAGGTCAGCAGGGAGAAAAAGAGGGAATAGAGGAAGAGAATGAAGGTAACACGGGGAGAGGCAAGAGAGAACGAAAGGTAAGGAGGGAGGGAGGGAATGTGAGTGGGAGGAGGATTAAAACAACGGGATCAAAGCTCTATAAAAAGGACAGAGCGGAGAGCAGAGGAGAAGAAGAAACACAAGACCGTGAGAGGAAAAAGAGATGATTAATTGGAAGAGAGGAAATGAAGAAGAAGAGAAGAAGCTCTGCCTCAGGAGCATTTCAAGTAATGTGACTTCTGGTGGAGTGATCTGACTATGAAAATATTCTACTTCACTTTTAAAGCTGCTGTGATACTAAAATTACCTGGATTTCTCTCCCGGACATCTCTTTGTATGAATTTAAATCCAAGCCATAACTCTTTTTTGCAATGTGGTGTTGGAGGAAAGATGAAGAAAACCAAAACAGATACAACCCACTTCAGAACAAACTCATACAAAGCCAAATATCTATATCCAAATTCTAAAAGACAACTTTGGAGCCGCGCCTCGTTTCCAAACTGTATGGTTTGTCTAAAATGAACAATGACAGCAATATAGTCCACGATGAGCAGCGCTAAAATCAACCTGCGTAGTTGTCCCTCCATTGTGACATTAGAAAGTGTCACATTTATCTTGCAAGTGTACTCTTCTTCAACGTTTTGTTTACTTTATGGCTTTTCCCACATGGACATTCGGACCAATCAAGAGCAGCGTTCTCACGTACAAGCATTTGATGTGGTCCGCTTGTAAACGCTGCCGTGAGAACACGAACCAACTCTAGGCAATTATGTAACTTTGTACCAAAATTAGTCCCTGATTCAGACCAAAGCAAGACAACTCTAGGTGTGAAAGCACCCTATAAGTCTAACATTCTCTCCTTTTAGCTCTGTTTTGGTCTCCACCAGCTTCTGAGAAAATCTGGTTCTTTAGTTGCTGAGCACTCCACATGTTCACAGCTAGCTGCCAACTTTATCAGAACTTTGAGGGACCTGACACACCAAGCTGACGGTTGACAGGCAGTCAATAGCCATGATTCCATCTGCTTGTTTAGATGCGCATCTAGAAGTATCGCATCAGAAAATTATGATGGAAATGCCAAAATTTGAATTAACATCCCCTGATTCGCACAAACTAAAATGCACTCGCTTTAGCTGGGTTTCAAAAAATGTTGATTCGCAAAACGGGGGATGGAAACAGTTATGTTCGAATTAAGTCTGAAATAGCGCACCTCTTTCCATGGTGATATCCACACTCCGGGTTGGGTTGGTTGGTTGGTAATAGAGTGCCGAAGTCACGCCCCTTCCGGTAGAGCTCATGGGACCTTAGATTGGAAAAAATATGAATGGCAGTGAATGGAGAGAGCAATATTATCTTTTGTTCCCGTTTGAGTTGTGACATGAAATCTAAATATGTTGTTAATGAATTTAAAACATACATTTTAAGATCAAGAAAGTCATACTTTGTAGTAAAACTGTTGAGATATAAGCTTTTTAATTAGAAAGACTCAAGAGTACACAGGAGGAGGTCGCGTATGTGACCATAGCTTTCGCTCGCTTCCTGCAGCTTGGCCTCCCCGCTGAAATTCCACTGTTTTATGATTAATTGATTTATGATAGAAGATGTATGTGTGTTTTGTGCCAGGTTGCAGTCACTCCAAGCTGCAGGAAGCGAGCAAACGCTATGATGTAACATACGCGACTGCCTCCTGTGTAGTTTTTCTTATTACGTTTTTTTCAAAAGCTTATATCTCAACAGTTTTACCACAAAGTATGACTTTCTTGACCTTAAAATTTATGTTTTAAATTCATTAACGACATATTTGGATTTCATGTCACAGCTCAAATGGGACCAAAAGATAATATTTCTCTCCCCATTCATTGCCATTCATATTTTTTTCGATCTAAGGTCCCATGAGCTTCACCGGAAGGGGCGTGACTTCGGCATTCTATGCATTTACAAGCTGGTTGCCACCCACCAGAAAATGTAGAAGAAGAAGAATGCGAGACTTGTTTTGTTTCCGGTTCTGCAGAGAACTAGCGCGAGTTCGTAGTTTTCACAGTTTTCAAAGTCCGTACATTTAATGGAAACACACAGGATTTCTTTTAATGAGCATTTCCCAATGATTCGAATCACTTTTGGATGGAAACATAGCTAATGTCACTTTCAGTTTTGTCTCACACATCGTTTGCATTAGTCAGCCATTCATTTCCTTTTTTTTTTTTTTTTGACGAATCAGCATGTTGAATCAGTGTCAGAGACAGTAGAGCCCGTTGGTGAATGAAATCACTCCGATTGGCAGTTCAGCTTAGCACACGAGAAGAGAAATGGAAGTGAGCAAAGTAAACAAACCGCTAAAATCAAGAGGGAGTGAGGTCATAAAAGGTGAGATCATATTTTTAGCCATTGAGCTCTTTAGCAGAAGAAGACCATAACTATTTGTGGGCATTGTTTGTTGGCGCACGGCAGATATCCTTTGTTCTTCCAACACTAAGTTGTGTTGTTAAAGTGCTAACTGGCAAACTAGCGTCCCAAATCCATCCTGTCAGTCTACCAGTTTCCCTTTTAATAATAAATACAGACTACTACTGCTGTGGAGAGTTATTTCCTCATCATGCAGGCAAAGAACATATGTGCTAGTTGACTTGGTTGTGGTGTGTTCAGGTACAACCTTTTGGCTAAGACACAGACGACTTGAGACAATGCAACAGTCGGCCTTTATCACTACTAGTTCTTTGATGTTATTTAGTGTGTCTGGGCCTTTATCTCAAAACAGCAGCTTGCTGCAGCTGGAAATGCCGCTGATAACAGTTAAATAAACAGCGAAGTTGTAGGTTGTAAACCAAAACAACAAGCTGAAAGACAGAAATTTAAGGGCAGAAATTTAATTTGATTTAAGGAACCTTTTATCATCTTGCACCACAGATAAATCCTGACATGACCTCTAAAAGTCTGTCTTGTTTTTGACGTCATAATTCATGTAAGGCTGTTCCACAGTACTATTTTTATTCCAGATGCATCATTTACTTGAGGCATGTCTGCATTTTTGCACTGTGATTTATTTTGTTCCTATGTAAAATCAATAAATTGAGAAAATCTTGCAGAAAAATTCCAGCCTGGAGTTCTGATTCCTTTCAACAGCTGTGCAGACGCCAGTGTGTGAGTGTGTGTGTGTGTGTGTGTGTGTGTGTGTGTGTCTAAACAAGCCTGGAAAATGTCTGTCAGCACGCCAGCTGCTGGGGCCCAAAACATCAGCAGCTAAAATGGATGACAGGGCGACCTTCTGACCCCGACAGAGTTCAGATTATCACGACCCTGATTATCTAACAAGGGTAGACGGTAACAAGGAGAGATAAACAAGTTGCTCTGCGGGGGAAGTATTACAAATAAACATAACTCAGTCACACAGAGGGTGAAGACTAAACAACAACAAAAGAAAAAACAATTAGACAGTAAAAGAAAGGAAGGAAGGAAGGAAGGAAGGAAGGAAGGATAATGACAGATTTAGGTCTGAGCTTTTTTTTTTTTTTGCACTGTTTTCCCACGGTTGCTTGTTTGTCTTTACAACTTTATAGCACAGACCATCATAGCAACACCTTTATTATGCCCCTGGGCTGGTGATAGCCGTAGCTGGAGGCATTATGTTTTTCGGGTTGTCCGTCCATCCGTCTGTGCATTCACCCCATTCTCATGAACATGATATCTCAAGAACATCTTGAGGGAATTTCTTCAAATTTGGCACAAACGTCCCTTTGGATTTTGGTGGTCATAGGTCAAAAAGTGAAGGTCAGTGTGACCTTGCATCCATCTTATTCCTGTGAACGTGATATCTTATAAGCGTTGTAAGGAAATTTCTTGAAATTTGGCGCAAACATCCCCTTGGACTCAGTGGTGACCTGATTGGACTTTGGTGGTCATAGGTCAAAAGTGAAGGTCATTGTGACCTTGCATCCATCTTATTCCCGTCAATGCGATATCTCAAATGTTGTAAGGAAATTTCTTGAAATTTGGCACAAACATCCCCTTGGACTTGACGATGAACTGATTAGATTTTGGTGGTCATAGATCCAAGGTCAAGGTAAATGATACCTTGCATCCATCTTATTCTCATGAATGCAACATCTCACAAAACACTGTAAGGAAATTTCCTGAAATTTGGCAAAAAAAGTCAAATTGGGCTCAGCGATCAACTGATTAGATTTTGGTGTTCAAAGGCCAAGGTCACTGTGACCTTGCACTTGTCTCATTCTTATAAACACAATATCTTGAGCACACCTTGAGGACATTTTTTTCAATTTTGACACCAACATTCACATGGACTGAAGAATAAACTGAGTAGAATTTGGTGGTCCAAGGTCAAAGGTCAAGGTCAGTGTGACCTCACAAAACATGTTTTTGGCTATAACTTATGAATTCCTATGCTAATTATGACAAAATTTCAGTTGAAGAGTTCAACTTTCAACCATTTCTGTACATGGTTAAAAATATTATTTGTGATCCAGACATGAAAACCCAAAAATACCAAATAATGATACTTATAGTAAAACATTTGGGCAGCCAGTGTGAAAAGTACTGTAAATATTCATCAATTTCGATATCAATTATCATATATCAATTTAATATAGTTTGCTGTA